TAGTAATACTCCAATTGCAATAGATGATGATGAAAGTCCTCTAGAGACTAATTCCGATCCTTCTCTCCTACCAATTACTAGTAGGCATACTTCGGCAGTGTGGTCTGATTTTAAGAGAAAGAGAGTTGGGGATGTGATAAAAGCTGAGTGCAACCATTGCTCCAAGCTACTTGCTGGTGGGTCAAAAGCAGGAACTACTCATTTGAAAGATCATATAAAAATATGTCCAAAGAGAGTATGTCAAGATCTTCGACAAACAAGAATGTTTGGTACAAAAAAAAACTTGAATGATAAGAATGACATGATGACATTGGCTCCTTACGAATTCCACCAAGAAGATGGAAGAAGAGACTTGGCAGAGATGATTATTTTGCATGAGTATCCAATTAGCATGGTTGAGCATATTGGTTTTAGAAAATATAGCAAGACACTCCAACCTGGATTTAAAGTGCCGTCTCGCAACACAACTAGAAAAGATATTATGAAAAGATATGAGCTTGAGAAGGAGAATGTTGCAACCTTGTTGAGGAAAGCAAAGGGTAAGATTGCCTTAACTACTGACATGTGGACAGCTGACAACCAGAGAAAAGGTTATATGGCGGTCACCTCACAATTTATTGATAATACATGGAAGTTGCAAAGTCGGATCATAAGGTATTGTTTTCTGGTTACTTATAACTTGTTTATTTTTTTTGGTTGTCTTTGTATTGCTATAGTTTTTTGTGTGAATTTTAAAATCATAAGAATTATAAGTTGTGATGATGGATGATAATAATGAGCCCATATATCCACAATAGTATTGAATAGACAAATAATATATGTTATTTTCATTGGTTTTGGTAGGTTTTTATATGTCCCCGCCCCTCATACTGCTGAGGTTCTTGCTGATGCTTTGAAAGAAAGCATTCAATCATGGAATCTTGATCTTAGGTTGTCTTCTATAACCGTGGATAATTGTTCAACTAATGATGCAATGATGGAAATTTTGAAAGGAGTGTTTCCATATGGCTCACTTTTATTGCGAGGTGATTTTTTTCATATGCGTTGTTGTGCTCACATATTAAATTTGATTGTTCAAGATGGTTTAAGTGCTGTGGTATCAAATGGTGTTCAAAGAATTAGGGATAGTGTTGTGTTTTGGACTGCTTCTGATAAGAGAGTACAAAGGTTTGAACAAGTGGCTAAGCAAATAACTCCTGAGTGTAGTAGAAAGTTAGCACTTGATTGCAAAACCCGGTGGAATTCTACTTATGAAATGCTTTCTATTGCTACTAGTTATAAAGAAGTGTTTGTTGTTTTAAGTGCTCGTAATAATTTATATAAGAATCCACCGACCCCTGAAGATTGGGAAAAAGTTGAGAAAATATGTGAACATTTGGAAGTGTTTAGTAAAACTACCCTTAATTTTTCAGGAACAAATTACCCTACGGCCAATCTTTATTTTCCTAAAATTTGTGCTTTGAGAATTGCTATTTCTGGTTGGCTTTTATCTCCTCATGATTATGTAAGGAAAATGGCCGACATTATGTTACAAAAATATAACAAGTATTGGGCTAGTGTGAATGGCTTAATGGGAGTGGCAACAATACTAGATCCTAGATACAAAATGGCTCTTATTCGCTTTTATTTTGCAAAAAATTTTGATGAGCATGACTTTGAAATTGAGGTTAGTAGAATTAGTGATCTTCTACGAAGATTGGTTGATGAATATGGGTCTAAGATGGGTAAAACTCAAGGTAGTAGCAACCAACAAGCTTTTGATTTGGGTAGTAGTAGCAAATCCAATGAAGAGACCTTTATGCAAGAATTTGCTGAATTTTTACAACAAGATAAGGACTCAAGTTGATATATCAGATTTGGATAAGTATTTAGGTGCTGCTAATGTGCCTCTAGTCCAAGATTTTGATATTCTTAACTGGTGGAAGACAAATGGAGGCACATATCCCATTCTTCAGCAAATAGCATGAGATATATTGAGCATTCCTGTTTCTACTGTTGCATCAGAGTCCGCATTTAGCACAAGTGGTCGGGTTCTTAATCCTTATCGTAGTCGGCTTTTACCGGAAGCTGTAGAAGCTTTGATGTGTACTCAAAATTGGATATGGGCTGCTTCTAAAAGTAAATAGCTAAAATAAAATTTTATTTAATTAATAATATTATTTATTTATTTATTTTAATTAATTCACATTGTATTTGCAGATTGTGGAGAATTTAAGGATGATGAATATGCTAAATTAGTGGGAGAATTAGAGGAAGGATTTGAAACATGTGATATCGATTCTGGAACAAGTGGACTTTGCACCGAATAATTCAAGGCCTAATGAATTTCTTGTTATGTATTTGAATATTTGTAGACTTGTAGTTATTTTTAATATTTGGACTTTGGACAATTTGGAGTTAGTGTTTTTTTTTTTTTCTCTTATGTACTACTAATTTAAGTTTTTTAATATGTAGTAATGTAGTATGTATGCCTAAGGTGTTGCACTTTATGAAAATGGTTGATCTTGCAGTGGTTTTTGTTGGATTTGAGTTAATGGGATTTGTATGCACTGCTACTTTTTCATTAGTCTACTATGAAGTCTGCAGGGTTTCAGTTGACACTTGAAACTTGAAAGACAGTTGCTTTTCTCAATACTAAGTTGGCGGGTATGGGGCGGGGAATTGGCGGGGATGGGGCGGGGGTTTGGCGGGTATGGGGTGGGGGTTTGGCGGGTATGGGGCGGGGACGGGGATGGGGCGGGGGTGGTTTTAGAGTTGGACCCGCCGAGGCGGGGACGGGGATTATTTTCAGACCCGACATGGGGATGGGGATGGGGATGGGGATGAAAATGTGAGGCGGGGATGGGGATGGGAATGCCAAAATCCGCCCCGCCCCGCCCCGTTGACACCCCTAATAATATGTAAGACAAATATTAGCTATTTATTAGTTACTCTAGGGGGTCATACTATATATTACATATTTCACCAGTTGGGACACGGGGAGCCGGGCCTCCACCACCCCCCTGGCTCCACCCATGTCTACTCATGTTATTCTACTCCCTTCGTTCACAAAAGTTCGACCTTTTTAGTCTAATCTATATCTATACTTAGTATTTAAAAAGTATAACCAAGAAACTAAGAAAGACACATGTCCCCATCCATTCTATTATACTTCTCTAACCATAGTGCAACATGTCATCTTACACTATTAATTTTTTATTACACCATTTTTTTTAATTCTTTCATTAAACTTATACTTCATCTTTCATACACACTTCATATCTCCCCTTTAATTCAACCTTTTCCTATTCTCTCTTTAATTTTAGCCTTTCCACCTTCTATTTAAGTCTTTTTTCGATTAAAGTTCCAAAATTTTAATTTCTTTAATCATGTTTCCGATCATATTATACCCTATAATGACTTACTGATATTTCTTCACTTATATCGCTATACATTTTTTCCGATTACATATTATCCCCTATAATGATTTAATGATATTTCCTCACTTATCTCTCAATACAATTTTATATGAATAACCCGTGCATTGCACGGGCCAGAAGGCTAATTTTAGTTTTAAAATGATTAACTCATTTGCATTAAAATACCCACCAATTTACAACAATATTGGTGTACAATTAATTAGTTTTTCTATATATAATTTTGTTTTTTCATGTACTTTTTATACTCTATCTGTTTCATAATGTTAGGGCCTGTTCTCATTGACTGAACTGAACTGAACTGAACTGAATTGGGCTGAACTGAACTGAACTGAAATGAATATTTTATAAGAGAAGGAAATTAGGAACTGAACTGAACTGAGCTGAGCTGAGCTGAGCTGAACTGAACTGAACTAAGCTGAACTGAACTAAACTGAACTGAACTGAACGGAGCTGAACTGAATTTCAACGTAAGAGAACATGCCCTTAGTCCCATATGCTATTTTGGGCGTTTCAAAAAGATCTACCTATATTGAATATATTTTATTTATAACTTATTTTTTTTTTGAATTAATTGAATGTGATTAGACATGACTCTAAGTAAGAAAAATTTTACCTTAAATTATTCAATTATGACTTGTGCTTTTCCTAATGAAAAATAAAAAAATTTTAAATAAGGTAAACCAATTATGAAATTTGTTGTACTTTAATGTTAGATTCCAAATATATTTGTTTTCTTATTTTATGTGATTGATTTCATATGGGATTTATATTATGAAACGGAGGGATTACGGATTACCTTTTCTCTTTATTCTTTTACTCCACATAAAATTCATGTAATTTATGTTTCTAATATACTTTTTTTTTATTTAATTTTTTTAATATCCATAAAATCAACCCAAAAACGTCATTCTTTAGAAATGAAATTATTACAAAACTGTACCTGTTATTTAACTACTCAACTCCTCAGTCCCCACTATTACATCAAACTCACATATCTATACTTCGTATTTAAAAACACAAACCACACATTACTTATATGCCACATGTCACCACAAATCACTCATATGCGACATACCACCTTCTTTATCAAAAAATAAAGTTCATGTCTTTATGCATTCTGTAACTTGCAAATTTAAGTAAAAAAAATTAAGTGTTTCAACTACACCAAAATAAAGTCGTAGTCTTTTCATATCCTAAACTTAAAATAAAGTAATAGTAAAAAAAAAGTTGAGCTAATTAGTCCACATTATATAAAAATATATATAAAATATAATAAAACAATGTTGACTCATATAACACAAATAAGCAAAACATTACAAGAAAAATATTCTAAGTAATAACCGGTATATGGAACGGGCCAGAAGGTTAGTTGTATTAAAATTGAAATAAATCTAAATCTGTATCATTACACTTTCTACGTGCCTCATACACGGGGCAAACTCGAGATCAAACTCACAAATTGAGATTAAAATAAATCTTAAACTATATCATTACACGGTCTACGCGCCTCGTACACGGGGCGCACTCTAGAGTGTCCCATTAATAATAATTAATTAATCGGTTGGTTAATACTTTATCGGCCGCATTTGGTGGCAATCTGGCCGTACAAATTCCTAACATTTGAACATTACTTATGTCATAAAATGACCATTCATTTATAAGATCCACGATTTTCAATTTTTTTTTTTGTCAAACCCCACCAAATCACCATGAAACTTGGTTACACCCCCATTTTCTCTTTCCTAATTCTCTTCATCGCCACCGTCTACGCCACCAGTGAAGGCGGCGATCCAATTTCCGGCAGAATTGGCGATGTGGGTTCATCGTATATTCGATTTCCATCCCTTAAATCAGTGTTTACTGCTGAAACATGTGAACAGAGTTATGGGTTTTTGCCATGTACTACAACTGCGTTGGGAAATTGTTTCTTGATTTTAGTTTATGGGTTTTTGATGTATACTGCTGCTACTTATCTGTCTAATGGAAGTGAACTTTTGTTGGAGATTTTGGGTCCTGGTATTATTGGTGGGCTCTTTCTTCCTATTCTTGGTGCTCTTCCAGATGCCATGCTCATCCTTGGTAATTTTTAAATTTTATTTTGTAATTTGTACTTATTTTGGATTGTTATATTGTTGTGGATGAGAAACTCGAGGCGTTATAAGACATGAGATCAAATCTTGTCTATGTCGCTTATTTTTGTGGAATTGTGGCTATCTTTAGACTAAAAGTAAAATATTCCATAGTTTCTATAATTGGGATTGGGCCATTGGGGTATGGTTAAGTTTTGATGAGAATATGATGCTATTATAATATGTTACCGTTTTATTTTATAATTTGATGTTTAATTTGGAATTGCATTGACTTTGATTGATGATTTAATACAATTTGATGTGTTTTTGCATTTTTAGGTTACTAATTCATGTAATTGTGTGGTATTAATTTTTACGGAAATTTCATGAAATGTCCTTGAGTAATTTTTTTATTCACCAAATACCCATCAAAACTTTCAAATTCACCAAATACTCTTGAGTTTAAAAAAATTTCACCAAATGCTCTTAACGACTAACGGCAGTTAACACCGTTAGTCATTAATGACTAATACGCCACGTGGCAGCCTCTAATGGGTTGTTGTAATATAAATAAATTAATTATTAAAAAAACTTTAAAAATATAAAATAAAAACTTAAAAAAAAAAAAAATTAAAAAATACCCCCACCACCCCCTAGACCCCACCCCGCCCCACCACCAGCCCCTGCCAGACGGCGGCGGCCAGCTCCCAGCCGGAACCGGCGCCGGTCGCCGGCGAGGCCAGCCCCCCCACCCTCAACACCCCCTCCCCTACCCCCAGCCCCCTTTCCCTCCGTTTCCCATCCCCTTAAACCCCTCCCCATCCCTCGAAAAACCCCCCTCCTTTGCACCCGGCGTCCAAACCCCCTCCCCGGCGCCGGCGAACCTTTTTCGCCCCATCCCCGCCATCCCCACCCCCTTTCCCCCCTAAACCACCACCCAAAAAACCAAAAAACCCTTTAATCGAAAAAACCCCAAATCGAAATCTAGGGTTTTGATTTGGGGGTTTTTCGGTTTTTAGGGTGGTGGTTTAGGGGGGAAAGGGGGTGGGGATGGCGGGGGGTGGGGCGAAAAAGGTTCTCCGGCGTCGGGGAGGGGGTTTTGACGCCGGCCGCGAAGGAGGGGGGTTTTTCGAGGGATGGGGAGGGGTTTAAGGGGACGGGAAACGGAGGGAGAGGGGGCTGGGGGTAGGGGAGGGGGTGTCGGAGGGGCTGCCCTCGCCGGCAAAAAGGGACCACCAGCGCAGGGGGAGGGGTAAGATCTGGTGGCGGTGGCGGTTGGTGGTCAGCCGTTGGGGGTGGGGTGGGTCTTGGGTTGTTGGAGTATTTTTTTTAATTTTTTTTAAAGTTTTTTTTTTTAATAATTAATTAACTAATATTACAACAACCAATTAGAGGCTGCCACGTGGCGTATTAACGGTATTAACCGCCGTTAGTCATTAAGGGCATTTGGTGACATTTTTCTTAAACTCAAGTGTATTTGGTGAATTTGAAAGTTTTAATGGGTATTTGGTGAATAAAAAAATTACTCAGGGGCATTTTATGAAATTTCCGTAATTTTTATAATTACTGAATGATGAATTTCTTACATCAACCCCGTGGACTGTGGTGCATTGAGATGTTACTTTACATTTTCCCGTGTGCTCGGCACATGTGAAGAGAAAGTGAGAGGGCGTAAAATTACATTAAGATGTAACGTGGACACCCTAACGAACTTTAAGTGGATCATGAACGAAAAAGTTCTATGTCAAATATTCAAAATTTACAGATTTGTCTAATGTCCCACACCTAAATTTACTTCAGTTGGGTGTCTAAACTGGTCATAAATAATTCAAGAAAGATTAACAAAAATATTTTAATGGTTATATCTTATGTGGGAAGTTTGACTTTTTTATTGTTTAAATCTTTAATTTACAAGGATCATGCTACAGTGACTTGATTGTGATTTATTTTTCCATTACTAATTCAGTATGTGCTTGTTTATACTGGGTCTCAAGAATAGTATTTGTCCAATTGTTGGTTTACTGTTCAAAATTGAATGTATATATATAACAATGATATTCATGAACTGATGAAGGAACTTTGTTTTATATGAGACATTTGGACTTGAGTTTAGCTTGTTTCTTGAATGAACTTTCTTTTATTGCAGCTTGATTGGATCAGTCATTCCAAGAGTCATTTAATTCATTGTTATAAAGTCATAATGCTGCTCTATGTTTATTTTTGGATCCTTAGTCCTAGTTGATCTGATACTACGTAGTACATTTAGTGTATGATTCTCAAGCAAGTTACTTGATAAAAAAAAAAAAAAAAAAAAAACTAAATATCATTGTCACAGATCACATCTAGTAACTGCTTATCGAACAATTACTTTTTAGTTTCTTACAAAGGTTACAAAATCAGTTGAATATTGTTGTTACTTACTACACAGGCGTTTGAATATGTTGTTTTACACTTTTCGATTTTCTCGTGCAGTATCTGGCCTTTCTGGAACTCCTGCAATTGCTCAAGATCAGGTTTCAGTTGGTATGGGGTTGCTAGCTGGTTCGACAGTCATGCTTCTTACAGTTATATGGGGTTCTTGTGTTTTGATTGGCAAATGTGACCTTGAGAATAACCGTGCAATTGATGAACAGGATACAAAAGGATTTAGTTTACTAGGTGGGTGCCTATCAATAGTTAATTATTGGCATGTTTGTTTGTTAATCAATTACCTTTGGTTTTGCTTGGCCAAATGCCTGCTTAAAATTTCAATACCATGTGCAGATGAACTGACCTACATCTGCATTGCTGCACATGCAACATCAATATATGTGAATTGTTCATTTCTTTGAACAGCTATAGTCTGCAGGGGCACTTATGATTAAATATCTTTTTTCCGATTTATTTCTTCAGGTTCTGGTGTTTCTACTGATATTTGGACTAGTTATGCTGCAAGGATCATGGCTATTTCTGTATTGCCCTTTCTTGTCGTCCAATTGCCTCAAGCTCTCAATTCAAGTTCAGGAAGACATTTGGCTGTGCTAATTGGCCTCATATTATCTCTTGTTATGCTGCTTAGCTACTGTGCTTTTCAGGTAATTAACTAATATGCTTTGGATAGGATGTGTGGCATTGTAAATATATGCTAAATAGTTGATTCAGGTGAATATGAGCCACTGATTTTGATAAATATATATTTTCTTCCATATGGCTGAATTTATGTTGGAATTCTAGCTATGTCCTCAGAATTCCATATGTGCCTTTTTATATGGCTTTAGAGGTTCTTTGTTGCTGCATTTTTCTTGTTATTTGGGCTGATAATATAGCAACACCTGCATTATTGTAGTTTTTATGATAAGTTTAGTAGGAAATCATTTTACATTTTTAATATTACTTGTAACTAACTACTTACGTCTTTCTTTGTTGAGTATATGAGTCCATGATGCAGGAAAACTTGAAGAGAAAAAAAAAATCCGAATGTCTGAATCTGACGAGTCTTAGATTCCAAAAATTAGAGCTTTATCATCTCATTTTTAAATCAATGTTCAGATAAGACTCTGAATTATCTTTGTTAGCTGGTCTGAGATTCATTATTTTACCGAGGCAGGTTTTTCAACCTTGGATGCAAGAGAGGAGGCTTGACTACGTCAAGCATAAGCGTGTGCTGACAGGATTTCTTAAACATTTGAAAAAGCATTCTCTTGGAAAACTTTGCAATCCTGATGGCACTCTTAACGACGATGTTGTAAAGAAGTAAGTTCTACTAATACCGTCTTTTGATTGGTAATGCACCTGGCATGAAATAGGAAGTCAAAAGATTTTGCTTTTCATTAATCGCCTGATGTTTGACAGGGTTTTTAAGGCAATTGACCGAGATGATAACGGGTTTCTCTCAAAAGGAGAACTTGGTGCATTTGTTGTTGGGATGAATTTTAAAGGGGTGAGTGTGGGCGTGGGTGAAGATGATATTGTAGAGAAAGTTATGAAAGAATTTGATGTAGAGCGTCCGGATGATAGGATTGATCTAGAAGAGTTTACTAAGGGAATCTCCAAGTTGCTTAATATTGTGAGAGGTGACAGGATTTCCCATAATAATGCTGACACAATGAAGTATTTAAATGACTATGATGAGGTTAGTTGGTTGTATAACAAAAGCTTTACTTCATATTTTCTAAAATTTTATCTGTTCGAAGGTTATAACTTTCTAAATCTTCATATGCAGGAAGCCGAAAGAGAGCATTTTCTGTTGGGTGATTCTGGTGAAGAGGGTGGTGAAGTTGTTGAAAATCCCAAGGCAACCACCATCAAGGCAGTAATATTTCTTGTGCTTGGAACTATTATTGCTGGTGTCTTTGCAGATCCATTAGTTGATGCTGTGGACAATTTCTCTGAAGCAACTAGCATTCCTTCTTTCTTTATCTCGTTTATTGCACTTCCTCTAGCAACCAACTCCAGTGAAGCTGTGTCAGCTATTATTTTTGCTACCAGGAAGAAGAAGAGATCTGCATCACTGACGTTTTCGGAGGTTGGTTTTTTTTTTTTTCTTTACTTCATTTATTATGATAGAGAGGTCTAGCAAGTTTGGAAGTGAATAAACATACCAAGTTTATAATATTTTGATCTAGTAGGATTAGACGACAACAATGCCTTAGTCCTAAAAAATTATTTGGGTTGGTTAACATGAATCGTCATAAGGAACCGTCCATTTAGGAAAAAGAGCATGGCAAGATATCGATTGAATAAGAGTTCGGGAAAAAAAGGAAAAAGAAAGGGAAAAGTGTGTAAAGTGAGAAACAAAAAGAGTATGAAAAAGAGGAAAAACATGTGAATAAAAACACATTAAGGTTTGAGAAAACCTTTGCAAGAGAAATAAGTAGAGTTTTGCAAAGCAAGAGTATTTAAAAATCTAGTAGGATTTGACACTCATCTAATTTTTTTTTTTTTTTCAATCTGTTGTCCGGGGGATATAACAGTGTTTTAATAATAGGATATAATAGTGTTTTAAAAGTATATAGACAAGATCTCACATGACTATAATTTTTCTTCCATATAAATCACAAAAATGGTTACAGAGAACTACAATAGTGTGTGGATAGTAGATAGTTTAGAGGGTACAATTTGTGCTAAGGTTTTTTTTTTCTTCTTCTCATTTACAATCTATCACTCAAGTTAGTGCCTGTGGTATCTAGGTTAGTTTCTTAGTTGGTGTATTGATATTTTAGAACAAATGGCTTTGTTGAGTAACCTGCTATGGCTTTCACAACTTCTAGCGGTAGCTGATATGTAAAAACTAAAAAGTCAATTTATTCCGGTATTCAGGGTCTGTTTTCTATAGATTGTACTCCCCGTGTCTTTTATTCACATGTTCATAATTGACTACCGTTTTCTATTTGTATTTACAGTAAATTATAATCACGTGGGATCCTATTAGAATTATCTCAGTATATATTTCCAAACTATGAGCTTATTATACCTTTATCCATCTAAAATTAGTGGTAAAAGATAAATGCAATATTAGAAAATTTGTTGAGAAGGAAACAGACTATCTTCCCCATAGTTTTATGTCAAGTAATTAATTAATACAAATACAGTAATGGCTGAACTAAGATTTGCATCAATTAGAAATATGGACTTTTACTTTTACCCATGAGAAGATACTAAAGACATTTATGCTGTTTTTTTTTTCTTTTTTCCCACAGTTATATGGAGCAGCGACAATGAACAACGTACTCTGTCTCTCAGTGTTTTTGGCTTTAGTTTATGTGAGAGGATTGACTTGGAACTTCTCCTCTGAAGTGCTCGTCATATTCCTTGTTTGCATCATTATGGGTGGTCTTGGCAGCTTCCGCACTACATTCCCTCTCTGGACATGTTTTGTGGCCTTCCTTCTCTACCCATTATCACTGGTGCTTGTTTATGTCCTTGATTACGTCTTTGGTTGGTCATAGATCTGTACATGACAATCGATCACTGATCCTGAACAATAGGTTTCCTTTTCCTTGTTACTAAACATGCTCTTCTATTATTAGTAAGGGTTTCATCTCTCCCTTCCCCTCTCTTTTGGCCTCTTTCCCTCACATGTGTGCTTGAGGCGTCCTTGATGTAAAATGCGGCTTGAGTGAGGCAGTTATCTTCTATGCACACCCTCTCTTTGTACTAATTACATATATCTATGTATCTTTTCGAAACCTGAAGCTGAACCACAGTGTTTCTAGTCTTTCTACTTCTATATACAATGAAAATTTTCAGAAATGTCATCCATATTTTCAGAATTAACGTTCCCATCATTGTTCCACGCCAAAGGGCACTAATCTAGCTAGGTGATGGGCTACATATGGTTGCCGACCATTTTCAAGTGTGATCACACAATCGAAAGAATAACCTCAAACTAGCTAATCCATCTTCAAGAATAAATTCTAAATCAGTAAAAAAAGGTTGAAGAAAAAGTGATTTATAATAGCTGGTAATTTGGCTCTAGTATTGTCGTTTGCTCTAGTTAGTGTAGAACTGTAGAAGCTATGACACCATATATCTTTGTACTATACACTGCGAGCTAAGTGGACCTAGCAACTACTTCGTTTGATACATCCATCTCATTAATCTTGGTGTTTACCACATTATTCTGAACATCCACACATCTCCCAAACATCCAAGATGAGTACAAAAAGAAAGAGAAAACAAAATGCATGATCGGTATGTAAAAGTAAATTCATCTTGCTTCTTTAGCCTCTTTTAACAATAATATTAATTCAGACCAAAAATCTCTTTAGTACATTGTTGTATATTACATAAATCCTGATGTAGTTCGACTAAGGGATCGCTTCTCCAGTGGTATATGAGAAGCATTTTCCATAAACTGTCAAACAAAGCAACATAATTAGGGTAATGCCTATTGAGGGTGCAAAATTTAAACATGCAAATTTTTTACGCAAAAGAGTCATCAGCTTCATAAATGAACTTAAAAGGTTTGGAAAACCCCTTTTTATCTTTAACATGGAAAAAAATCATGCAGTAGGTGAGTAATATTATACCTTCATCAAGTTTCTTCTGATCCTATTCTCCGCCTTAAGCTCCTTAACTTGCGCTTCTAGACTTTTGATACGAGCCTGTTTTGTTAGTATAAGTGAATAATGGGTGTATTAGTGAAAAGTCATGTTGATGCTTGTATATATATTTGCTTTATTGTATTACCTTTCCTTTATTGTAAGCAGCAGCAGCAGATTCTCTGTTCTTAATTTTTTGGCGCTGTTTTTGGAAGTTAATTTGATCAGCGGTTAGCTCAAAGCCTTTTTTCTTTCTCCCTCTAGGAATAGTTTGCATTGCCCTTAGCTTACTCTCCATATACCTCCAGCATCTGCCTCCGCAACAAACCCCTTTCTCCAATTTCTCCCTTGTATTGCTACACTTACTAGTTCTCTTCATTGTTTCTTGAAGAATCCTTAGATTTCCATCCACTTTCTTGGCAAATTCTTCTCCATAATCAGTGGCAGCTTTGCTTATATAAGCTGCCTTGTCAATTTCCATATGTGGACTAGTCGGGATCTCAAAATCAATGAATGCTAAGAATGCAGGATCCAATGGTGGGAGATCATCAAAGCACATAAGATCGTCTGAGCTTTGGGATCCTGTGATCAGTTGGTCATTAGTGTCTGTTTGTTTAGGTAGCTCATAACCCAATTCTTTCAATAGGGATGATGGTGGTGTTGGTGGATATGCAATTTCGTGAATTTGAGCTGGTGATTTGGAGTTCGTGTTGAGATTCTCTAAGCTGAAATCTGTGGGCTGATCAGTGTCAGAAGTGTCACTCAGGTCAATATAAACTATGTTCTTCATGTTTTGGTTCTCTTCATTAGCAAGTTTCATGTTATTGGCATGAATCGACAGTACAAAGTCAGAGCTTAAGGAACCTAGAAGTTGGTTACTAGAATCGTTGCTGTGATTAGGTGTCTCAGAATCCAAGTCTTCTGTCAATGGTGGGAGGTCTGAAATTTCATGAGTTTGCTTTGACAACATGACTTTAGTCTCAAGCTGCTTCAATATTGGTGGGTTCGAATTTGACAGCTGAAACCTTCTAATATTCAGCTGATTACGAACAAAATCATTCTCCATTTCTTCTATCGAAGATATGTTTTTTAATAAATTCAGATTACTTTCTAACAGTGGATCATATGGTGGCAAAAACTCCTTTTCAAACTCCTCAAAATTTCCTAAGAGTTGCTGCTTTCGATGCTCCAGAAAATCCATAGCCCTGTAACTCCCCTGTATCATTCGATACATACACTTGATTAGTTACATACACTTGATTAGTATGTACGTTTAATCATTAAATGAACACGAAATGAGATAAAAAAGAAAACAATATGAGGCATTAGCTTTTCATCTAATTAGTGTATATATCGATCACACAGTGAATTTCAGTTTAATTACAATCGAACTTGAAGGTTAAGCAACAGCACAAAACTGTAAAATTAAAACCTTGAAATTTTGAGTGTTAACCTGAGTTCTTGTTTTAGTTGTAATGCAAGTTCTTTCTAGAATTAATTGTACTTCAAACTTTGAATATCGGATGGTTTATATGTTATTATATGATAATGTAAATGTAACGAATTATAAGCACAAGTTTTTTGTCTCATATTATTGTTATGAGCAAAGCTGTACTTTGTCAGAGTTTTTAGTACTTTCTGGGTACTTGTATTCCTGTAAATATATCTTGGTTTACCTGCAGTTTTACTTTTTCTTGTGCAACTTCTTGATATTTGATATTTTCTGCAGATATACAAATCATCATTCTTTTCGTTTTTTATTTGGTAAACACATATGAGAGGGTCTTTTAGAAGGAAAGGAAAATGGTTATGGTTAACACATATGAGAGGGTCTTTTAGAAGGAAAGGAAAATGGTTAAGGTGAGTTTCGATCTCACGCCTCGCCTGTGAATTTTATCAAACCCATTTACAGTACATATTAAGCAGCTTGCTAGAGTTACTACCTCTCCCAAAAGGAAAAAGAAAGAAAATAATACAAAGTATAAAAAATTGCTTGCTGAAATTTTGTAGACAGATATGCATGCATGACAGTTAATTCATCAAAATATTGCTTGAATAACTTAAACATTGGTTAATTTGCCAATTTTATTTTGCTAGTTATTTTGTGATAATCACAACCATCTAGATAGTTCATGCATTCTCCCTTGCATGATGAACAATTAGGATATTAGATGTTGAAGGATAGTCTTTCCAACTACACATTACACATGTAATAAGATTTTGCTGTGTGTCTTGTATTTTAGTTTCTTTCAATCCGTCTAGGTTGTAATCTTACTTGTTTCATTTAACGAACTTTTTGTCAAAATAAATAAATAAATACATAGTATATAACTCAAAGACGAAACAGGAGTTATATATTTTGTTTGGGGTATTTGTAAAGTGGATTGCTAAATACCGCCAACGTTTTTTATCAGGCCGCCTTTGTAAATTGTAATTGCAAGAATGGTTAAAGTTTGAGAAAATCTAATTACTGTAAAGGATAAATGTGACTAAATCACCCTTATCATGATTAGTTAGAGTAATTCCTTGTATTACTCGTTATCTTTTTTCGTGAAATACTCATCACCAAGGAAAATTTCAAACTCAAATTGAACTTCCGCTCAACTATTTTAGGCACCTGATCGGCCTGGTTTTCTAGGGATCGTTGCCTAAATCAATGTCATTTTCTTTGAACTTCTTTTTTTCTAGTTCAATATATATGTTGCAAGCATATGCTAATAAAATTACTTATTTCTAATTTGTTCTCTTTAATCTGGATTCTCCAACTCAAGATAGTATTATATATAAAAAAAAAATTATTTGTTTTTTATAATCATCACCAATCAAACTTCATTTTAGTGTTACGTTTAATAAGGACTACTTAACTATTGTTCAATTGAGCATAAAAAAAATATACTTATCTAAGAAAGACGGCTAAGGTGAGTAAATTCCTCATAGCATGGGAAATAATTTTGTACATACGTCTTACAATCTTGACAACCAATGCAAACAAATCAACCTTCTTTTACACTTTCTATAATTTTTAATTTTACTTCGTGTAAATTTTTTATGTCAACCAAACAAGCACTTAATTGCCACCTTTATAATTCAAACTGCACTATATCAATGTCGCACTTATTTCCGAACTAAAATGACAATTAATACACCTACAAAGCATTCCTCTACCATTAGAACTTTAGAAGAAATCATCCATAGACAGGATTTTGATGAAAAAATAAGGGTCATTTCCTTTTATAGGCAAGCTAGTTATAGTTTTGGTACATGAAAATGGAAATTATTATATGCAAAAGAATCCTATCATAATTGAGTATATGAGCAACACCATAATTGAAGTGAGATATTGTGAGCCCACCTAAAGCTTACACACTACACAAGACAAAATGTAAAAATAAAATCTTGTAATGGCAAGTCGTCCCCCACATCAAGGCACATGCAAAGCAGTTTGTTACCAAACAAAAGTGTGGCTGACCCATCAACCAACCAAACAGATTTCCTTAAATAACATACCTCTCTTCTTCTACCATGTTTCTTTTATCCACTTTTCTCTCTTATATCCTAAGTTTTATAGCTTATATTTATAATATGTACTCCTACAAAATTTCCCTATAGACATACACACTAGCCTTGTGTTGTGCCGTCTTGCGAAAATGTATTATAACACGGTAAATTATTATTCTTATTCAGTAAGTTATTGTGAATTTGTTTCATGCATTGTTTAATATATGGTTTTGATTCATATACCTTTTCGAAGACTTTTCAAAGTCTTTGGTAAGATGATGAAAGAGAAATCATTACAATACTAACACTAGATAATTCACAGAAATTACTCTATGTATTTCTCTCAAGGCACCTCAACTCAGTAATATATATATGAATATAATTCTCCCTTTATCCTCAAGTAATCTTCTTGTTAGATTTGAATACGCATATCGGAGAATTTAGTGCTGGTTAGGTAAATAGTGTGGAGGAGCCCACTTTGCAATATATGAGTTGAGCAGGAATAGTTTTCATTTTAATGACAAACTATGTTTTTTTTTTTTAACATCCTAATTAAAAATCCATATAGTATGATTATTTGTGATAGAGGGAATATAAATGTTGTAAGTAAAATTAAGCCTATTCTTTGTCTCATTAGTTTCAAAAAACCAACAAAACATCATTAATAGAAAACTAAACCTAAACCTACCTAGGGCGTTATCTTAAAGGTCTCTTGAAATTTATACCCTCTTCATCTCATACATACGCAAATCCATGCATTATCTAATGATGAATGACAAGGAGCATAGAAAAGAAATAAGGAGAAAAATAAAATGTCCTTGTTGCTAATTAAAACAAAACAAAACAAAAATGAACTAAGCAAAAAAAAAAAAAAAAAAGGTTCGTTACAACCTCAAGTTTAGATCAATACTTTCTCCTACTTCAGTATTACAACTACTAAGACTAGCTGGTGGTGACAACGGCAATGTTGTTGCTTCCAACTTTGTTGAGGGAAAGAAGCTCAACAAATTAGGCTGCTGGCTCGGACCGGCTTGTCTTGAATCCATAACTGTGTCTTCAATACTTACCTTCAAGTTATGGAACAAAAAAGGGTCACTAGAAAATTTTGTATATAATTGGTTTAACTAGACAAATAAAAAAAAAAAGAAAAAGGAATTGATATAGTGTCTTACTTGGTAACGTAAAGTATCATATTTGCAAAATTGCTTTAATCTCGAATTAGGAAAAGATGAAGTAAGTGTTGTAGGTGCCAAGCTAAGAAATTCTCCTGTATGAGAATTACCATTTTCTGATATATTGATCTTTCTTGCGTTTGCTGGCTCAGCAGGCATTGTAATGGGGCATGAAGGTATGTCTCTACTAAAAAATCGCGCATATGAAGAGCAAGGAACTCGTCATTCAAGCTAGTGACAAAAAATGAACTACACCAAAAGACAAGTCATGACATTTTGTTTAGGTAAACTGACCTGAAAATTGGGTTGCTAGAATAACCCAAGTTGTATGTCGTCGTTCCTCCATTTCCATTTGATGTTGATTCATTTGATCGGCTGAGGGGATGAGTGATAACAGGAGCGAATTTGCTGTGAAATGTCGGTATTGGAGGGCTGTCTAGAGGGAAGGGACATGACCTCTTCATACCAATCATCATCTATACTACAACAAAATCGAATTTTTCATACATAATTTCTTTAAGGTTTTTATTTGACATTCATATATATGATGGAAAATTGCTTTAAAAACACCAGTAACTTGAAACATGATTGATAAAATCAATCCATGTAACGTTACATGAGAACTTAATTTAAGTACCCATATCGAATACTTCACAATCTAACATGGATATGATCATTCGTACACTCATTCAAGGAATTCTCTTGAAAAATATGCTCATATTCAATGCCAAGATAAATGTAATTATATGTTACGGAGTATAATTAATTTTGGTATTTGTAGTTGTTCTAGTTCGGTCATGAACAACATATGGTGTTATCATTGAATTAAAAACAAAGATTAATTAGCTACTAATGAAGTCGTAAAATGCAACGTAAATCTTATTTTGGGAGTCAACAAAGTTTGGCAAGAATAACTAATTATGTTCAAGATAATGTGCATGTGATAAGTTCAGTGAATACAGGATGTTCTGTGCTCATGTACTAAACGTGAGCTTCAATCTAGTAATTTATTCAAGGTTAAATCTAAATGTTAGTGAAACATGTAACAAACATGTAGGCAAAATATACCAAAGATGTAGCGAAAAATGGAAATCTTCCTCCTATCCTTCTGTTTTAATCTATGAAGTTAAGTCTAGGCAAAAAAATGATTGCTACTAATCAAAGAAATGAGTGTTCATGATGCATTTACTAGGCGCGATGGGAGAGGCTAGTGGTTACCTTTTCCTCATCGGGGCACAATGGTGGGTAATTCGCGTAAAAGCTTTGGTTTGAAGGGGGCTCCATTGGAAAGTTGAGCACGGATGGTGAAGACAAGCCATTCACCTATCCAAATTGAACAAGAAATAAATTAGACTAATAACATTTTAAGATATATCCACAAAGTGTACTCGAAAAAAGAAAAAGAAAATTTGCATGATTTTTACCAATGAAGAAGGTGGTTGATGTTGTAGTGTACTCCTTGGTAGCACATCAGACAAAGGAGCAACACTACAATCTTCAAAAGGTAAACTCAAACTAGGAGGAAAAATCGCGTTCTCCCCTATATGATCATGACTAAATTCATGAGGGTTTGCATGCCACAACTTAGGAAAATTAAAATTTCCATGGACCGGGATTGAAGGCCATCCAACTTGGAAACCATCACCATTGGTAGGACTCAAAAAAGGGACCGGACCTAAGTGAAAATTCTCGGTATTGGGCAATGAACAAGCCCTAAAAACCGGATTTGGAGGCGACAAACTCATTGGGATTGGAGGAGGAGATGGAGGACTATAAGGGGGTACACAAGATTTAGATGGGTTTTGGTTAGTAGTAATCGCGAAATTGGGTAAGGGAATACCATGATGTGACGGCGAATTTGTTGGAGAAATTTGGGAAGAAGATGAAAAATTGTTGCCATCTTTCTTTTGTTGTTCTTCCATCCTAATTTTCTCAAGTTGAGCCACTCCTAAACCTCTTTGTGGTACTCTTTTTTGCTTCAACTTTTTTGATGATGATGATGGTCTATCACCACAATTATTGGTACTACACATTTGATTTTGATCTTCTTGAATCATTTCTTAATTCCTTCTTCTATCTATTACCTCCTCGATTTCGAAACCTATATAATAATTACATATCTATAATGTACATAAAATTAACTAAGCTTGAATTTTTTTGATTAATTCAAAAACCCATGATTAATTCTTAATAAAAAAAATTAAGATAAAAAAATATATTAGTAAAAATAAGAAAATTCTAATAATAGTAAGAGGATCTTAAGTGGATCATTCACTACAAACTAAACCATGACTCAATCTACATAGTGACACTCATGAACATTTCATTTTTATCTTTGTAAAAATGAAAATAAAAAGGATTTTAATTTATACAAAACTTTTGATGAAAACCCAGATTCTGAAATGAACCAACAAGATTATCTTTCTTATACATATCTGAAATTCTCAAATTTTAAATCTCAACGGCTAAAGCCCAGAATTATATTTTAAAAAAAAAGAATAATAATAATAAAGTAGATTTAGCAAGAAAAAACAGACCTTCCTGATAAACTTGATGAACCCAGAAAATAAGGAAATTCCAAAATATGTGAAAATCTCTAAAAAATCAGACAAAACAATTTTAAAAAAATATAACAGTAAATAAATGAATCCAAAGAAGAAAAATAAAAGGATCCAAATATTAAAAGTATAATTATAGGGGAAAAAAAAAACTATGAAAATATTAAATTTATTCGCAACAAATGTAGCCCAAATCCTCGCTCCACTCTCCTGAATTTGCTGCAAATCTTGTAAATTTTTGTTTACTTATTTTAATTAAATTATTTAGAAAATATTGATAGAAAAATTTGGACTGCCTTATTGTAGGAGACGGGGTAATGTTTAAAAAGCATGGAATGTGGGTCCACTAGCTGCATTACCTACCAAATACTTTCCTAATTTGGGATTAAATGGATTTTATATGATTCACACATGATCCTAGGTTGCTTCTCTTTTGTGTCATCTACGACTTATCTCCCATCTTATGTTTTAAGATGCTAATAGTAACACAATTTAGTTTAAATCCTATTTAATGTCAAACCGCGTATTAAAAGAGTGAATAATGTAATGTGCGTAGATGATTGTGATTACTTTATCATCAATTTTCAACTAAAAAAGAGTGAATAAAGTAATATGGAGTATAATCTAATATATATAAATAAAGTAGACATTTTTTTGTGAGCATTTGGCGCGCCACATAAGAAAAGGTATTATTTTGTCCAATGAAAAATTAGATTAATAATTTATTTTTGAATTAAAAAATTTACTCGCCACCTAAGCAAAAGTGAAGAATAATATTTAAGAATTTTGACACATATGTAAAAACAAAGAATAGAGAATAATTAAATTTTAAATTATTTTAAAAAACCAATAATTATCTTCTCTTAAAAATTAAAAAAAAACAAAAAAAAACTAAGTAATAATTATCTATATGGATGCAATTTTTTTATCGCAAATATTTTTAATCTTTCCCTAGCAAACATTATAAAAGTTTGATTTTAATAATGTACTAATCGAGACGAATAAAACTAAATCTCATACGACTAATTTCCCATAATTTTTAATAGTTAAACGATTATAAATGAGACTAACATTTTAAACAGAACAAGTATACGGAGTATTAAGTAAACGCATAGGCAAAAGACTAAGACGAATAAAACTAAATCTCATATGATTAATTTCCCATAATTTTTAATAGTTAAACAATTATAAATGAGACTACCATTTTAAACAGAACGAGTATATTAAATAAACACATAGACAAAAGACATATTTTGATCAATAAAAAAACTAGATTTGTCATTTATTTTATGAATTAAAAATTTCAATTATCACATAAGCAAAATTAGTGAATAAGGTTTGAGATTTTAAATTCAAGCGTCACATAAAATTAATAAAACAACAAAAGATAACTTTAGCGATAAAATTAAAAAATTATCTTATGATATTAGAAATTTTATCCATATATTTAGTGAATGATCTTCATAAATATACAAAATTTTAAATTAATAAAATAATTTATAGTGACGAATGAAATTTTAAATTTTTTCCACTTAGATAAAAACGACGAATAGTAATTTATTAGGATTTTAATTATTGAAGAACACTAAATTTTATCATTTTTATTTGTTACAAAATTAAAAATTATCTGTAGATATTAGGATTTTTATTATTTAAAAAATTAAAAATTATATTTTGATATTTAAAAAATATAAATTATCATTTGATGTTAATGGTTTTATGTAAATATTTAATGATATGATATTTTCATACAAAATTTTAAAACTTATAATGCAAGAAAAAATTAAGAGATCACTAAAAAAATATTAATATACAAAATGTATATAAAAATTCGTGCATCGCACGCCAAATAAGCAAAAGTATTGTTTCGACCAATGAAAAATTAGATTTATATATTAATTTAGAATTTAAATTTTCAGTCGCCATTTAAGAAAAAATTAACAAATGAAATTTGAGAATTGAAAAAAAAAACAAAAATTATCTTTTATATTATCTTTTACATTAGGATTTATATCATTTTAACAAATAATTAGAAATTAAAAAATATATATTGATTTAATGATTTTATCTAACTATCTTATGAATGAGATAATATTTATTTCAATTTATAAATTCAAGTTCTATATACGTAAAATTTGAATAAGAATAATTTAAAAACTTAACAAAATATTTTACCTTAAATTAATGTTAAAATAATAGAATAGAAAATAAAAACAAAAAATATTAAGAAATTACAAAAATATATACAAAATAAAATATTTAAAAACCATACATCGCACGGGCTTATATCTAGTTATGTATCTGTTATGAAATATAATTATGTATGTTCATTAAACATATCATTGTAAGTTTGTAACCCCTTATCATTATTGCTTCACTAAGCAATCTCTTGTAACACCCTTTACCGTTTTTACCCTTTACCTTATTGCTTACCTTTGAAACTTATTGTTATCATCACCAAACTCTAATTTGTCAATCAAGTTAAATCTATCAATACACAATATGATATATCAAGCTAACTTGCTAAGTCAAGGTACATATGATGTAATTACTTTTTAACATGTCTTGAAAGTATATTTTACTAGCTACTTGTCCATATTAGAATTTTTGTTGCTTTTTAGTTTTATCATAAGTATATTATAATTAAATCGAACTTTGTTCATTGGATTATGTATCTTATCGCTATTTTTGATTAGTAGTAAGAGTTGCATCTACCAAGTTTCTCTTTTATTAAACTATACGCATGAATTCATGTTCATTGGGTCGGTTTTGTTTTGTTTAAAACTTAGAATTTAGTAATACGAACTAAAAAGTATAAAATATATCCATTGTTCATTTGTTCATGTTTAGCTGTTTAAGCGTGATTTTCATTTTTGTGGGTATAATATACATTTATACAAATCTATACTATTCCCTCCGTTTTTAAATACTTGCTCCACTTTCCTTTTACGTCCGTTTTTTTAATACTTCTCCATTTTCTTATTTGTGTTATGAAATATAGTGTGGATGCCCATTGTACTCCTTGTATTATTCTAGAATATTCTAAATAGGTCGTCTAGGGTTTATATTCTTATCTAAGCAAACCCTATTTATATTGTATTTATATATATACCCCAATATATGGAATAGAAAAACTGATCGATTCTCTCTCAATCTCTCTCAAATTTCTCCTAATTTTATAACACGTTATCAGCACCATGGCTTTACCCGAATATCATATTAAAGATCATGATTGTACCTTGATAATCTTGCCAATTTGATTGGAAAAAAAAAGGTACGATTTTCCTCCTAATGGTTTGTGTAAAAAGAAAAGTTCAAGAGATAATATATTGGTTTTTCTAAATAATTGATGACCATAAGTTCACTAGAATAATTTATATGTTGACAAGTATTAGGTGACCAGAAGCTCACCACGTACAAGTTATATGTGAAAATTTTAAGTAACTAGTATTACTATCAATGTTTCTAGTGATCTCGAAAATCACCACCTAGTGAAATTACAAGAAAGTTTATATTTGTATAACAATTCTCTTGATTGGGGCTATTGTATGTCAGCACATAAGGAATAGAATAAGAAATTAGCTACTGCACAATTTATTACCCCTTATTAATATTGATCTCTAGAAGAGAACAAAATTTCATTATTCTAAGTTGGTGAAGAATTGCCCCAACATTTGAGATATTTTACCAATTTAGGGGGAAGAATTGAAGTAAGTTGGCAAAATTATAAACTATGAATAGTTGATCCCTCTATTGATACTTTGTAAAATTACATGCCAACTTTTGTATCAATATATGTTGCACATCTATGATTTGATTTGTATATCGTTATGACCCATCTAGAGGAATAGAGAGATATATTTTGATTATGGTAATAATGATATTATGTGCATACATTAAGATAGACTTGTCAATTTACTTTAAATCACTGCGCCTGAAGTGTGGTTTGTTTGATCGGTTCCAATATAAATATGCGATATACGGCAAGATAGTGCAGTTGATACTTTTAAAGTATAATAATAGTATATTAATACCATAGTGTGAGAAATACCCTTAATATGTGGTATAGATATCTGAATTATTATAATAGATGGCCTATTACGTAAGAAAAGTTATGATGGTACCAATGAGAAATGCATTCAGATATCATAGTAAAATAGCATGCGAAATGTACGTTATTGGAATTTTATTATACCGGTACACAATGGAACCGCTGAATAATATGCATATGCATGATAGAATGGACTAGTGAATAAGGGATCTGAAATATATGTCCATTTTGTTGTCGACATAATGATAATGATCAAAAGTTTATTATGGACCAGAAGTCCAATTAAATATGGATTTTTTAATCCACATTGTACAGTGTCTTGCATCATTTTGAGTCTTATGTTCATGTGCATGTGTGAGTCATAAGTTAATGGATATTATTGCATATATAGGAAGTTGTTAGATGCATTACTCATTGTATATTTGTTAATATGTTATCATATTTTCTATATCTCATATTGCATGCATTAATTTCTTACAATAACTATGGTGTATGTAAATGTTCATTCAAAGTATAGTAAGATATATTTACAACTTTGATGAAAAATTAGAAAGAGATATTTATATTCCAGTGGGCTTACACTAGTGATGAAATTATTGATGACGTCATTTTAATAATAGCTTGTTATGATTCATGTAAGAAGAGTTCCTGGAGAACTTATATACGACGTATTTTAATATCCAGCCCTACATATTTTATATCTTGAATATTGCAATTATTATCAAAGTCATGGAAAGTCAATATGACTAGCTGCATCATCGATATCTCAACCTGAAGTTTGAGTATGTGAGATTCAACAAGTCTATGTATTCATTGGCGAACTCTCATATAAAACATGAGATGTCTAATTAAAGAATAAAGTTGAGACACCATTGTGAGAGAATAATATTCGTATGGTCCAGAAGAACCATGAGCAAAATATGTAATTAGTTTAATTTCTTAATTCATATGAAACTGAAAAATGAAATATATATGATATCAAGTGTTGCCATGAAATTATGTTTGGATAATGTGATCAATTACTAATCATCAT